ACTCCCCCCAGGGGGCAGGAGCAACGTGACCGGGACCTCGAGCCCAGTGCCTGTGTCTAGCGGGGCCAAATCATGTGACTCCCACGCAGAGAGGGCTTCAGCTGCTTGCATGACGGCAGCCAGGCGAGAGAGCCCAGGCTCCACTCAGCTTCCTCCTCCAAGTGAGTTCAAGGACAGTGGCTCTGGGATACGCAGCTTCAGAGAAAGGAAGGCAGCCCCAGGGGCAGACCCTGCCTGGGCGTGCACACCACGCTGGCACCTTGCCTCTGCACTGGCCTAGCACCCACCGCCCACACCTGAGACCCATCACCCACCCCCTCACAGCTGGAGATGCCTGGAAATGGACGCACCTCACACGTCCCTCTGTCTTCCACCCTTGCTCTGCTCTGCCATTCCCTCCTGCTGTTCTCTTGGTTGCTTTCCTTGCCTTCTCCTTCTTCCTTGAGAGAATGAGTAACCATGAGCACTCTGCGGGCCAATTCCTGGCTTGACCATGCTCTGCCCCTTTTTGCCATATGATCTTGGGCACATTTCTAAATTCTCTGGTATCAAAGTCTCCCACCCAGAATGGAAAGGCTCTGTGAGGCCGCCTGGCATGGGCTTGGCCCTTAGCACAGAACGCACATGCCAGGTGCTCCTGAGTTCAAGTTTCCTTAGGGGCCACATTCCAGCTATAGCACTGTGGTCACTCATGCGCTTAGAGAGTCCCCAACTGTCATGACCACATGGCCAATCTAGCAGGTTTCCAGGAGGGGTGAGGGGGGATAAGAAAAATAAAGACTCATGGACTCAGATTATGAAGATAACAACTGGAGTCAAGTGGAGTGCTGCTCTCTGATGGAGAAGCAGTTCTCAAGAATTATGCCAGCAGCACGTGGTGAAGAGCATGGTCTCCACATCTCATGATTAGATGAAAGCAACCATTATTCTTTGTATTCACAAAAATTACAGAGCTAGCAACTTTATGCAGCTTATTCCATAGTTACATTCTACATTTGCAATGTACGATGTTAGGAACTTTGGTAGCTCTCAAGAAAGTCCGTTGTTTAAAGTCACTATTATGTGGACAGGTTCAGGAGCAGCAGAGCCAGTGAAACATGGTGATTGTCTAGCAAGAGAGTTCCTCTATTCCCAGGAGCTGTGTGCCTGCAAGCAAGGTCGAGGCTGATAAGACTCTAGGACAGAGCCTCCTCATGAAAGGCATTACCACAGCAACTAGGCATCCTGCACCTTGGCACAGAAACTTTCCTAGACACCAAGCCAGCCACAGCCATGAGGTCATCAGAGACCCCACTCTCCACATTCAACCGTGACTCTCACATTGGATTCTAAATCCCAATGAGTCCTAAGTCAATTGACTCAATTTTCCTCAATTTAAGATCACAAAAAGGGAAAATCTCAGTCATTTTCCTTCTCACATCATATTTCCCTGTGGCATGTAGATGTTGGAGGCAAAGCCATGAGAATTGAGACGAGGGGAAATTTAGCTGGTCTCCTTAGAGCTTAACAACCTGCTTTGGTTTGGACATGTGGTTTCCCCCCAAAAAACTCATTTGACCCATTATGCAAGAAAGCCCAGAGCTGACATGACTTGTATTAGCCTGGGCCATGCCTTCATCCTCTGAAGGGGTTAACTGGGTGGCAGCTGCCAGCGGGTGGGACGTGGCTGGAGGTGGGGCAGCGGGGCATGCCCTTGGGGTTTGTGTTTTATCCCTGGTGAGCAGAGCTCTCTCTGCTTCCTGATGCCATGTTCCGAGCTGTATTTGTCTGCCACACCTTCCTCCATGATGCTGGGCCTCACCTGGGCCCAGAGCAATGGGACCTGACTCTGCTGACGGAGACCTCTGAAACCCTGAGCTGAATGAACTTTCCCTCCTCTGAGGTACTCCTTTCAGGTCTTTCAGTCAATGGGAAGGCGGATGACTACGCGTGCTGAACAGATGCATGTTTTGAGCTCACCTCTGAGTCAAAGGAAGGGGGCCGTTCAGCTCCACACAGGTCCTGGTGGCAGAGCCAACCCAACTATGGGCTGAGCTCTCCTGGAGGACATGCTTAGCCTGGTCTGATGACTGGCCGGTTTCCCTTGAAGGTAGTTCTACTTTGTGTCTTTTCTTCCCTCTTTGCCCCTTCCTCCTTGTTCATCTTTTTATCTTCTAATTTCTAACTATACAAGTCGAAGCAATCATTGTGCAGAAGCCAGAACCCAGCCTAAGTCACCTGGGCTGAGGAAACCCCCGTGCATCTTCTCGGTTTTCCAACACTGTGCTGAGAACCACTCCTCTGGAACCATGCCCTGGGATCTTCCCCACCCCAACGCAGCACGTGGTGAAGAGCATGGTCTCCACCTTGCCAGAGGGAACAGCACTCTGCCACCAGTACAGACAGCCCTGTGAATAGGCTGCTTAAGCCAGGGGCCCATGTCTACTCTGAGGCCAGCACCGGGCTCTGCTGCTTCCCACCTTCATGGAAGATGTTCTAAAGAAGTGGCCGCACGAGGACAGAGAACACATTGGGCCCTTCTATACCCCTATCTGAAAGGGGGCTCTACTGTTACTCCACCAGCACCAGCACATGGGACATGGGGAAGAATTGCAGGAGGCCAGAGGGCCAGTTCTAGTCCCCACGCTGCCCCCTGCAGGAGGCTTCACCTTGACCTTGAACTTACTTCCCTGTGCCCTGCTTTTCTCATCTGTAAAACTGCAGAGAAACATACATGACTGAGAGTACTTCCAGCGTTCCCTTGAGGGCTAAGAGTCCTCCCATATCCAGAATGAAAATGAGGGGCCAGGGACATGAATGGAGGTGGGAGAACTATAGTCTCTTTGTTTAAGGGAAATTTAGATGTATTTTTCTAAGGAAATAATCCAAACTGATCACTAGAACCTCAAGCTTTCATTCCCCAACAGTATTTCGGATCCAACACTCCAGTGACTGCCTGGGTCCTGTGAGTGCAGGAGGGGCAGGGACAGGGCCTAAGGAAAGGATGACGAGGTCCTGAGTGCATGAGGAGCAGGGGCAGGCCTGAGGACCAGGGCTGCCATGGTCGTGTGAGTGAGGAAGGACAGGGGCAGGGCCTGAGGACCAGGGCTGCCATGTTCCAGTGAGTGAGGAAGGACAGGGGCAGGGCCTGAGGACCAGGGCTGCCATGTTCCAGTGAGTGAGGAAGGACAGGGGCAGGGCCTGAGGACCAGGATGCTTCGGTCCTGTGAGTGCAGGAGGGGCAGCGGGAGGGCTTGAGGACCAGGATGCCTTGGTCCAGCGCATCCCTGCTGGTTTCCACTAGGTTCCTATTGGAGGGTAGAGGTTCAAGCCCTGCTCCCTCATGTTCTTCTGTGTGTCTGGAGGATGTTAACATGTTTCCAGGAACACAGTTGCAGGAAGCATTTATAAACCTTTTTGTATGATGCCTGTGCTCCACAGGAATCTGGGCCTTCAGGTCTAGCAAGCATACAACAGAGGCAGGTATGTATACAGAAGCTTTTGTCCAGAACTTTGAGCAGGGAAGCTGGCCACATCAGTCAGGAAAGCACAGGAAACTACAATGAAGAACCACTCAAAAATATATTCCACAAAGTGTTTTACTTCTCATTTGGAGTGGCCTTCCAGGCCGGCCTATGAGGTACAGTCTTTGGCCTCATGTACACTCAGAAGTCATGATGTCACAAAGGGCAAGGTCATTTGCACAGGTGGACCGTGACATCATCAGGAGACAGGACTGTTAGACAGTCTGATGACAAGAACAGTGAGATCAGCCAGGGTGATGAAGGACACCACCAGGAGCTTGTGTGTCCAGCGAAGGGATGCACACCCCCAGGGTTCTCACATGCAGTTGGGGTACCGGCTAAGCAGCAGCCTGTGTCGGGGTGAAAGAGCAGTATGTGCACTTTCCAAGGCAGCAGCTCAGGAGAAAGGGAAGGAAAGGCTTCCTGGTCTTTCCCTAATTGTCCAAGCAAGGCCCCACCCCTGCCTGCACAGCAAGGCAACACTAAACACATGCCCAGATGAACTTCAGAGACAGCACCCATGAGGCATTGTCAAATATTTCAAGTGCCTTGGAGAGCTTAAAACTAGTTGTTAGGACAGCTGGTCTCCTTTCCCACTTTCTTCATGTCTCTTTTCTTTGCTCTCAGGACATAGAAGAAAATTTTTTCAGTCTGTGATGTTTAGGATGGTATGAACAAGATTTGCCTTGAAGAGAAAACTTTCTGAGTTTGTGAAAACTTGTTTCCCCTTAGAAATGTACCCTTTCTCCACTGCTGGGTTTATAAATGCAAGTACATAGCCTGGAACCCTACAGGAAAGAGCCTGCCAGGGGAACTCAGTAGCTTATCTGATGGCCAAGGTTCTCAGTTCTCAGGGGAATAAAAACAGACCTTGATCAGGAGGGGACAAGGGTCACAGACAACAGCAGTAACCTGGAGCTCTGTGCCCTGGCCCAGCCAGAGACTCACTCTCACAAAGCTGGCTAGACCCTGCCTACAGCTCCTCACTCCCTCCATCTCTGGATGCCAGCCCAGCCCAGCCCAGCCGCTCACTAGCATGCCTGAGCACCCAGGAAAGGTGCCCATGCCAGAGCCCTGTGATGTCAGGTCCATGAGCCTTCCTGGCAACTTTACTGAGGGCGGAGGCTGTCAGGGCTACACCTGCAGGAAGTCCCTTGGATTCTTCTCCAGCAAAACCCATGGATTTTATAGAACCAGGGTGCACAGGTTGTCACCCCCTCTTAGCCTGCATGGCAGCTAGCTCAGCTTGCCCTGTGCCAAGGCAGCAGAAAGGCTAGAGATGAGAATGTGCGTGGAAGTGTGTACACACACTGATTTGAGCACCTGAGGCCTTCTGTCTGTCTAATCCTGCAGAAACATGTGTATACACAATCAAATTAACAACATATATGGATATACAGACACATAAATGTATGCAGAATGCATATGTATGTATTATAGATATTTAATATGCACACATACTCATGTGTACCATACATGGACCTCACCTAACACCGCACCTGCAGAAGTGCTGGCCAGCAGAATGCATGTCCACATGGGTGTCAGAGGATGTGCACCAGCCGACCAGACGGAGGTCATGCTGTGGGAGGGCACTGCCAGTGGGTCTGGAATCCCAGCCCTGAGGCCATCACTTGGGTGCTTGCTTGGGGAGGGTGGGCTGCTCCACCCAAGTCTACATGGCAGTGACTTACACAGGGCTGTGCACAGTCACCACGCTTGTTGTTGTCCTCAGGTGTCCAGAACACAGCATCTCCCATTCCAGGCTGGGCCTCAGAGGGAATCAGGCACACTGCGGGGGTAGGGACGCACAGTCTGCAGGACCCTTGGCTCCCTTCTGCTTCTCGGCCCTGCCACTGGAAGGCGTGGCCAAATCCAGATAGAACCGGGACTTGAGGAAGCGGCGGTAGGAGTCCTTCTCCATCAGGTTGAAGATCTTTCTCTGGGCCTCGTCAAAGCAGGTCACTGTGGGCTCCAACACATTCCGGCCAGTCTCCTCCCTGGTGTGAGAGTCCAGGTTCACCTGGGGACAAAGACAGAGGCTCCATCAGACCGGATCCCTGCCAAGTCAGAGGTGCAGCTCCGCGCTGGGACGCAGGTGGCTGCACCCTGCACCCAGGACACCTAGTGCCATGGGGCACCTGGGAGGTGAGGAGGTCCATCCTGCTTCAGGTGGGAAGAGCAACATCTTCCTTTCTGTCTCCCAGATTGGGGAGATTTATCAGGAAAAAGCTTTAGGAGGCGGCAACTTAAGCCTGTGGATGAAAGACATTTCCTTAACAGGCTTACTTGGGATGCTTGAGGGGTGCGACAGCATGCTGGGTGGCTTTCCTAGCTCTAGGATCTGAAAACCCCACCCCACACCTACCCCTAGGAGCTCCTCCCAGGTCCAGGAAGACTGCTGGTGGAGAATTACCTCCTTGGTGGCCTGCACAGAGATGAACTCCTCGTAGATCTTCTTGGCCTTAGGGCTGAGCTTGGCGGGTGACTTGGTCTTCCTGTACTCCTCGCAGCTAACCCAGAAGTCAATGTTCTCCTCGCTGTACTCGGACTTCAGGAATGCCCTGAACGTGGCCAGCCCACCTGGTACAGGGAGAACCACACTGTCAGGCTTCAGGCCCCGAGCATCATACTTCAAACAGATCCCAGTTACACCTAGTGATCCCTAAGCAAGGTTCAAGCCCCTTTCAAGAAATTGTTACATCTCAGAGATGTCTACACAGCCATCAACCACCAAGATGGCATTGAAAGAGAAACTGAGGCTAATTCTACAGGAAGATGTCCATATTCAGAATATTTTCTCTTTGCCACTTTTCCATGTGATGAGAACAATAATTATTTCTGTATGAATTTCCACTGCGTATTGCAAAATTCTAGGCATGGTAAAGTGTTTAACAGATGGGATGTGAGAACAAGTTTATCCTGGTCTGGTAACTAGAAAGATACCAACGTTCCTGCAGGTCCTATTAGACCAGCACAAGGTAAACTTGTCTTATCCTGAGTGCCTCTGTCCAGGGTCCCCGGGTAGGAGGGGGCATCAGACTTACATTCATGGGTAATCAGGTTTTCCAGTGATTCAGCCCATTTCTTGACTTCCTCTTGGCTCACCCTAGAGATATCACAGAGAAAAAGCATAACTTGAATGCCATGATGTAGAATTGGAGAAAGACGTCTAAGATCCTAGATAATATGCAGAGATGTTATCTTCTGTCATTAAAATGAGACCTGCTGTCAATTAGGACAGTTTTTCACTAAGCATGTGAAAATTTCGAATCCAACTGTGACCTCCAGGAGAATGGAGGTCCTCTGGATTCAAACCTTGCCTTCAGGATACAGACTCCATCCCCTGTCACAGACATCTCCTCACCAGTTGTCATGCACAGCTGATCTTCACCAAGGCCATTTCTCTTACCTCTGGCAAACAGCCACTTTGTCCTTCTTGCTGTGGGCAGAGCTGTGCTCGCAGGAGTCGGACTTCTGTAGCAGGAAGCCTAGCCGGTGCTTCATATCTTTTGCACTACACGGAGGAGGACGAGGACAGTTAGCAATGAGGCCATCCCCAAGAGACACCTGTCAGTGGAGCCTGAGGATCTCACTACTGGTGCCAGGGGCAGAGGCGGCTATATAGGAAATGGGACTCAGAGCGGGCAGGAGCTACCAGGAGGACAGGGTCCTAACACTGGCTCCTTCAGCTGTGACCCAGAAGCCTCTTCTGCACACTCTTCCTCTTTTTCAATGTGGCACCTCTGGTCTGGCCAATGGAACAAAACTGGACACAGGACTAATCTTGATTGTTTTAGTTTAAAAGCAAAATACCATGCGTCTTGCTGCACGCCCCCTCCTGGCAGCTGGCTGCTAGTTCATCTGCCTTCCTGCTGGCAGAGGGATACTGGGCACACTTGGAGAGCAGGTGAGTTCAGCCCCACCAGCTGGCCCAGCAGTTGCTATGGGGCACTGAGCTCACTGAGGTGTGCAGTGCATGGGATGGGGGGTGGGCATGAGCACCAGCTGGGCTGGACCCAGGCTCCTGGAGGGTGCATCCAATCTCCAGCTGCCACCTTCCTTTAAAAGCTACACGACCAGGAGGCATAGAGGCCAGAGGCTTTGGAAAGAGCAGGAGGCTGGAGTTGTCCCTGGAGCAGCTTAGGGATACAGAGCTACAGGCAGCCAGGCTGCAGTGGGTGGCTGAGGAGCTGGAGGAGGACTCCTAGTAAGGAGCGGGAGGAGGACCCCTCCTGAAGAGCAGAGAGGGGGACCCCTAATGAGCAGAAGGGAGGAGGACCCCTAATGAGGAGTGGGAGGAGGACCCCTAATGAGGAGTAGGGAGGAGGACCCATAATGAGGAGCAGAGAAGAGGACTCCTAATGAGGAGTGGGAGGAGAATCCCTCAT